GCGAGAACCCGAGTGTTCATCTCTTTTAAAACAAGAAAGATATTTAATGTCTTGAATCACCAACTTTTCTCTAGCTAAAGTGACATATCGTTGTAGAAACGACTCTTTGGTATAAACTTCTCCTTTTGCATGTGAGACCACGAGCTAGGAGGTTATTCTCAATCTAATGTTGTTTTCCCCCATCTCGAAGGCTAAGGTGAGGTCGACAATAACTACTTCATACTTGACTTGATTATTTTGATTATGAGACCGACTTTGTTCTCCAAAATTAAGTCAACTCCATTTTGTTAGATGATAGACTTCGATCTAGAGGGGGTGAATAGATCACAAATTTCAAAATAAAACTTTTGGAAAAAAATGTTTTCAAAAGTTTTATGGCATAACGGAAACAATCCGAATTGAATCGTCTAACCGAACCAACTATCAAAAAACTCGGATATGTGTAACGTATACCAATTGGATGATAATGAACACAAATTGTTCAACAACGATTAATTCACAAATCAATTAAATGCTAAGCTACTCGTAGAGCTTATTTCCAATGAACAAAATTCAATTAAAATACTCAAAGAAAATTTATCGAATACTTTGTGTGCGGTCGATAATGTTTGGAAATTCAATTTGTTTTGTTGATGTTAAAACTAATCACAATCAAAGTTATTATAATTATATCAACAACAATACTCTAAAAGATAAGTGAAAAATAATTTCCAATCGAATTGATCAAAACAACAATGAACTCGATAATTTGCAAGAGCAACAATTTAAAAAGATATAGAAAGAGACACAAAGATTTGTTTAGGAAATTCCCCAATTGGCCTCGCTATGAGTACGTCTGCCCTCAATTTGAAACTGAATTGAGATACTTGCAATTAACCTTATCTTTACAAAAATGTTTATACAATAGATAAAAAACTCTAACCCCATAAACCCTATGGTTTGTTGTTGATTCTACCACCTCCAAACCCTTGATCAAAGTTTGATCAAGTCACCAACAATACTGATACAATCCACTAGTTATTGACTACTTTCTTGCAAGACCTTCTCGTCTTTAAAGTTTTCGCTCGATCTGATCAATCCCTAGCAAACACTTGTTAAACCCAAGATTCTCGCACACGATTCACCGTCTCGCGTTACTCCCTTGCAAGGAACCACCTTGTCCTAAGGCCTTCACTCGGTCGAATCCGTATTTGCATGATCTTGTCCAATATCTTCAAATTATAATGGTCTTGAAGGAAAACCCCAACTTGGTTTTATCATTTGAAACACACAAAAATCTCAACCTAATATTCTCAGTTACACCAACCTAATTGGACGTTATCAACCCTAATCTAGATGGTCACCCAATAAAAAAATGATTATGTGTAGTTTGATTGTGTGTATGCATAGAAGAGAGGTTGAAGATGATGAGAATGCTTTGTAATTCTGGTTTCATTTAGGTTTACACTAGTACCTTGCTAGAATATGATGCATGTATGAGTACATATATGCATGGGAGGAAAAGGCAAAATAAGAAAATAATAAGAGGAAAACAAAATTTGAGTTTTTGAAAGCAATAAGTGGGCCTATAAAAGAAATAGGTCGGCCTGTTAAGGTCATTAGGTCGGCTTATATGAGCAACAAGTCGACTTGTAGAAGTCTTAGGTCATCCTGTCTGAGGCTACCTGAATGTAGTGGCCACAGTCTTCATTCTTGGAGTGTGGAGGTCGACCTATCCAAGCTATCTGTCGACCTATACTAAAGCAAAAACTTCTATAGGTTGACCTGAAATTGTATGTGTCGGCCTATGCAACATTTTTAACACTTAAAACTTATTTTTGATGCACGAAACATGCCTAAGGTATTTCCAATCATTTTCAAACTAATTTGTATGCATCCTAATGCTAAGATGATCAATGCACACATAGACTTTGGTTGATACCGCCCAATGTACAAAAATGCTAAATTTCCTCATAGTTTTGACATCATTCAAAACACGACTAGATGGAAGAATGCACTCACACTTCCTCTGCTATTAAATGACATATCTATAAATAATACCCAAGCATGAGCTAGCTCTGGCATGCCTGGAATCAACTCTACTATGAAGTATGCAAACAACTAAGCTTTAATGTTTTCCTTAATTCAAAAAGACATCAAATTTAGGAATCTCCATGAACCCCTTTGTTAGCCACCATGCTAGATTCAGACTATGAAGCACTTACGTCAATGGTAAGTCGGTTCAGAAATCTATGGCGTTGGCAAGAAAATGATATCGTAGCTTCTTGGATGCAATTACTAATGCATGCACCACCATTTCTATCTTTTGATAGTGTGTCTTTGATGCAACCAAGACTTTGGAAATGAAATAGACTATACTTTGGGATGAATTTGGCTCTCTCACGAGGACGCCAATGATTGCTTCATCGGACACAACCAAGTAGAGGTACAGAACGTCCTCAACGGAAGGTCGAGATATTACTGATGGATTTAATAAGGATACTGTCAAGGATGCAAACTCCTGTTGGCATTTTAAGGTCCATTCAAAATGCGTTTCTTTCTTCAATAGTTTGTAGAATGGCAAGGTGTTAAGGATCAAATTGTGCATATTTTTGATAGTATTTTGTGGCCTTTTCCAATGTTTTCTTTGGTGTTTTAGTAGTAAATTCATATGTTTTAGTGTAAATATGCAAGTTTCCGATTATGCATGTAAATATTATGAATTGTGACCATTTTGATGCTTTTTGATAGGTTTTCTGGCTTGCTATGATGTTTGGAACCTATGGATGATGGAAGAAGGATTTGAAGATCAATTTTGCGATATTTTGACGGCAACTCGCGCTTAGCGTGTTTTTTAGCGTGGGCTCAACGCCTTTTTGATAAAGAGGCAGTAGCTAAGGGTCCTTGGCCGTGCTTAGCGCGCTCTCTGGAAATTTTCCACCTTTGAGCTGATCGCGCTAAGCGCTCTCTGATGACGCTTAGCGCGGTGCTACTTACAGGCATGTTGTAGAACTTGAATAAATAGGCACTTAAGTAGATATTTTGTGATACTTCATATTTTTCTACACTTTTCAGATTGTAAGAAGATTTTTAGGGTTGAAGCTTAGAAATTTCAAGAGAAGTGAAAATCAAAACTTTGGAGCACCAATCTTCAATCTATCCACTTTGATGCTAGTAAAGTTTCCCTTTTTACTTGTTGATTAAGCTACCATGGTGATGGCTAACTAAACACCTTTTGTGTCATAATTAGAGGTAGTTAACCTTACTATTATGTATTTCTTTTGATCTTTTGTATGTGAACAAAGTTGATGATTAATATATGATGAAGATCTTTGCTTTTAATGATATATGCATGGTTTGAATCACTCTAGACACAGATTTTTCAAGTCTTGATCTAAGTCCTTCATCTATTAACTTTTGTGTCATAATTAGAGGTAGTTAACCTTACTATTATGTATTTCTTTTGATCTTTTGTATGTGAACAAAGTTGATGATTAGTATATGATAAAGATCTTTGCTTTTAATGATATATGTATGGTTTGAATCACTCTAGACACAAATTTTTCAAGTCTTGATCTAAGTTCTTCATCTATTAACAAACAAACTCTAGACATGGATTTTGGAGTTAATATTTGCTTTGTATTGATCTTTATGTTTATTGTTTCGAATGTTGTTTTAAAAAATCATCTAGCGATTGAAACAATAATACCCAATAAACCACTTTAGAAATAAACAAAATCGAGAGGATACACAATTGTATTGATCTAAACTAAGTTCACATGCTTGATTATTCAAATATGTATGAAACGGGTTAACGAAATCTAATCTTAACCTGCTTTTCTTTAAACAAACATCTTTCTTTAGTTCACTCTTTGCTACTAAAACAAGTGAAAACATATGTCATCAAACCAAAACTCATTGAAAATCCTTTTCTTGAAACTCATAAACTATTGAATGACAAACATCAATTTATCAGGACAATCCATGCAGATACGATAAGACAACCCATCTAAAATACTTTTCAACGCAAGGCGTGTTGCGCAAACTTCGAGATGAATCTGTTTAAGGATGTCATTATCTTGTTCAACTTCATCACTTACTTTCTTTTTGGTTGTTTGTCACCTCACCTGGATGACTGCCTCACACTTATCTAAGCTTGTTTTTATGCCTTTCCATGTTAGAGAGAAACCTAGAAACTTTTCAGCTCTGACTCCAAAGATACATTTTTATGCACTTTTCGAAATACACGAGCTATATGTTAATCATGTAAGCATCCTCATTAAATAAAACGATCATGTCGTCCATATATACCTCTAGTAATTCACCTATTTCTTCTTCGAATATTTAGTGCACTTTGAATCACGATTCAAAATTACTTTAATAGAGATTTTTTTAAACCTTTGATATAGCAATAGTAAAATAACAATTCACATAACATATACACCATATTATTAGTTTTAATAGGGTTTGGGAGGCTAAATTAATATGTTAACATTAAATGTGCACGAATATTTATATTTGATTGATCGAGATTTATTCTTATTTATTTTTCTTTAAGATGAAATTTAACATTAGACCAATTTTTCATTAAAAAAAGTATTTTTTTTTTACAAATATCTAACTTAAAAAAATTGCAGGATATATTTAACGATATTAATATCATTTTAATCGTGTCGGCAAATCACAAATATCTTCTCTCCTAAATAATTTTAAATATAAAGAAAGAAATTTAAATCTAACTACAAAATTAATTTTTTATTATTTCTTACAAAATAAAAATAATTTCTGTTTACATTACATATTTTAAAAAATAACTCATTTTAAAAAAATAAAAACTAAAGAATATACTACGATTCAAAAGAAAAATGTAAAAATTTGGCCATTATAGTGTTCGGTGTTCCAATAAAAAAACCCAAGTGTAGAAAACCTCCTTCGCAAGTACCTGAGTTCTCTTCTCTCTGAGAAAAAGTTTTCTATCATCCTTCCAAATCTTGCTTCTGAACTTCTCCAAATCTCCAACAATGGTGCTCGAGGTAACCGCTCTGATTTCCCTTCCTCTAATTTTCGTCGATTCACCGTACCACTGAAATCCCCTTACTTTCCTCTTTTTTCATTCGATCAATTAGGTTTTTCGTTTCTCGCTATTACTCTACACTTTTATTGAAGTATTCTTATTGTTATTCTCTGGTTTTAATAGGCGACGATGATCTGTATTGACAACTCTGAATGGATGCGTAACGGTGATTACTCTCCTTCACGATTTCAAGCCCAATCAGACGCTGTAAGTCTCATTTGCGGTGCTAAAACTCAGGTGAGTCCAATCGTTGCTTAATTAGTACTTGTATTATACGTGATTCCGATTCTATGTAGTATTTTCTTGGAGAAAATTATATGTTGTATTTCAGAGTTGGTTTTTAGGTTTAATTTGAGGTTTAGGTAATTGCGTGTGTTCATTTGTTTTCTTGTTTAACGAATTTCAGTCTAATCCTGAAAATACTGTTGGAGTTCTAACTATGGCGGGGAAAGGTGTTCGGGTTTTGGCTACCCCTACTAGTGATTTGGGCAAAATCTTAGCTTGTATGCATGGTATGCTTTTTTTCCCCTTTGAATCTTTGTTACTCCATGTGATAATTGTTCTCTTCTATATTAATGTTTATGTTTTATTGTTCATTAATACACGGCTGTCTGAATTGAATTCTTAGGCTGTGGAAGTTTGTTTGATCGGTTACTCATGGTCTGTTTCGATTGACTTACTTGAACTTGTCTATTACATAAACATTTTGCGAGGCTGTTAAGAGATATCTTACGAAAACAACTCATGACGTGTTTCATAAGTGTTTTAAGCTTATTTCATTAGCTCTTCAGGATAGCCTATGAACACAACTTATATCTTATTATATGAAAACGATTTGATTTAATAATTTGCTATAGGAATGGCTTATACATAAACACTTATGCTATAATTGCTTAATTAAGTTGTTTATCCAAACGAGGCAATAGTTTCTTTTTCTTTTGGGTTGTTATCATTCATTCTAGGTATATATGCATCTCTATGTATGGCCCATGGCACACTTTCATATGGAGGGCTATTAGTAAGATTAAACTTTCATGTAACTCACTTTTGTAAATATTGAGCAAGTACGACAAGTTAATGTTGTATTGGATTCGTCTTTTGATGAAATAATTTATTCATTTTTCTTCCTTAGGTCTAGAAATAGGTGGTGAGATGAATCTAGCTGCTGGCATTCAGGTGGCGCAGTTGGCTCTTAAGCATAGGCAGAATAAGAAGCAGCAGCAAAGGATTATTGTCTTTTCTGGAAGGTATGAACAACTGTTCATTCTTCGTTGTTTGAAGTTTATTTTATTTTATATGTTGCCGATTTTCCTCCCACTATCTAATTTAATGCTTTATTAGTCCTGTCAAGCACGAGAAGAAAATGTTGGAGATGATTGGGAGAAAGTTGAAAAAGAATAGTGTTGCACTTGACATTGTCAACTTTGGTGAAGATGACGAGGGGAAGACAGAGAAGCTTGAAGCACTCCTTGCAGCGGTAAACAATAATGATAGTAGCCACATGGTTCATGTTCCACCTGGTCCAAATGCTCTTTCGGATGTACTTATAAGGTTTGCGAGTTCAATTTTGTCTGGTTTTTCTTCCTCTTCCTTTGTAATCAGCATTCCCATTTAAATGGGGAATTCCGATTCGGTAAAAATTTGAGTATTAGAGAAGTTATTTATTTAATATCTCTGCTGTTTCTACTCAGCTCTGCCTTCTTCTCTTTACTCCTCCTATAGGATAGCTTTGGACTTCTGTGTTTTTCAAAGAACTCTTTTCTCAGTTCTCAACTTAATCCCCAAGTAGCCATAGATGCTTCCTTGATAAACACATTAGGTTTTCCAAAATTCCTTTTAATGTCAAATCTTTCATTTGATTAATCTGGTTAGCACTAACGGCATCCTTCAAACTGTATGCGTGTCTCTAACTTGCAAATACATTGGGAGCCTGGTTGTGTTAGTTTTTTCCTCTCTTCTATCCTTGTTTTCTCACTTTCTTAGCTGTTTCTTGAAGAGACCTTATCCTTGCTCCTTCTAAAATATATTTCCTTCTATATAATATGATAAATTTTCTTTTTATCTATGAGAAACTTCTAAAATAGTTATCTGACTTGTGTTGTGGCAGTACACCTATATTTACTGGTGATGGAGAAGGTGGAAGTGGTTTTGCAGCTGCTGCAGCAGCAGCATCTGCCGGTGGTGTATCTGGATATGATTTTGGTGTTGATCCAAACTTGGACCCTGAATTGGCTCTTGCTCTAAGAGTTTCAATGGAAGAGGAGAGAGCTAGGCAGGAAGCAGCTGCGAAAAAGGCTGCAGAGGATGCTTCCAAACAGGAGAAAGGTGGTGAACAGCAAGCTGTTTCCCAGGATGCAACTATGACTGAGCAAACCAGTACTGCAGCTTCTGAAGTTGGGACTAAGACAGATGACATGATGGTTGGTGTAATTAGTTTTTTAATCCATTTTTGTTGCTTGTTTGTCTGTCCTATGCTCTCTATATGGGGTCTAAGAACAATTTTCTAAGTGTATAGGATAGAATCATTCTTACACTCACCACCATCATGAACCGGGCACTGATTATTCTCAGTACTTCTTCACATGGTTTAAAATATACAGATAAAATACTTATTTGTGGAGGTTGACTGTTAGATTGTAACTGCTATATGCTACTTTTCTGATTGCAACTCAATATCGCAGGCAGTGAATAAAGTCTTTTTCATGGGCTGAAATAAGACAGAGACCCATCTTGCATTTTTTTTTAATTCTACCTGCTTTGCTTTTGAATCAGTTATCTTGTTTTAACATTCAGTTTTATTATTTCCACACACTGTATCATATTGACTCTTTTTTGTGAACTGTTTGACACTTGTTCTCTGTGAACCGTCTTTCATGTGGAAACAGGACGATGAGAATGCTCTACTACAACAGGCCCTTGCAATGTCGATGGATGATCCTGCAGTTAGCCATGATGTAAAAGATGCAGATATGTCTGAAGCAGCTACAGATGACCCTGAGTTGGCTAGAGGTGAGCTTTTAATTTTTTTTAATCATTAATCATCTAGACATGGCTGAATATGTTCAAGTCATTTTAGTCTTGTCTTATGTGAGATGCGTTTTCTTAATATATGGCATGATGATTCTCAGTCTGGAATTAAGAAAAAGTTGTAATGAGTTTGGTTCAATCAAGAGGGTAACAGTTTTTTCTCAGTTTTATTTGTTTCATCATCTGGATGGCATCGTTGCATTGAATAGGGTATGTTAGATATGAATTTATCTATATGCTCAGCCAACTCATACTTTTTTGAGGGTTTGGTTTTGGTAAAACATGAATAATTTTACATTCTCTTCTGGGAGAAGTTTTCCTGATGATGGAGTCAGTTTGTATTTTTGTAGTTTTTTCAGGAAAGAGGTAGTTATTTTCACTGACTTCTTGTCCTGTTGTTGCCTGTAGCTTTCCAATTGTCAGTATCAGAACCCCCCAACGATACAGTCGGTAGATTGTTGGCGGACCAGTCCTTTGTATCTTCTATCCTTGCATCGGTATGTCTGACAAATCTATCTAGTAAAACTCAGTTTGTTTTTTAATGCATTAGTGGCTGTGTTGTTAAATGGCGTGGCAATTTTTTTTTTGAAAACCGCTATAGGCAATTTGTACAGAGATACCCGCCATGACTCCGTCATAGGCTGCAATTATGTGTTTATATGGCAGATATCCCCCCTTCTGCCAACACTGATTAGCGGATGATTTATGATATGTTATATTATGTACCACACTAAGTAATATTAATTCTTTGTTTCCCCAGCTTCCTGGGGTTGACCCAAATGATCCATCGGTCAAAGATTTGCTGGCTTCCATGCAAAATCAGTCTGAAGTAAGTCTTTTATTAGAATATACTATTGGGTTTAAAACGAATTTTGTTAAAAATCTTTATGTTGGCACAACTGAATTTGACTTAACCTGGTTATATTTTGATCTCCAATTCAGTCGCATTTATGCGCCAGTACTTTACATTCTGGGCTACTATTTTCTGGTAATTTAGATTTTGGTACCTGTACATTATTACTGATATTATGTTTGTATTATCAATCAGTCTCAGAAGAAGAATGACGAGGAGCGACCAAATGAGGAGGAGAAGAAGTAATCTCAAGTCATTTTGCAGTTTTTTATATTTCTGTTCCTTTGACAGTCATATTGCTCTTGGTAACATGTTGGAAGGTGGTTCTAGTCAGGGCATTACTTCACTGGCACCGCAGTTATGAGTCACGCTAGCTTATTGGAACAGATGTATGTTTCTTGATTAGGTTATAAAAGCCCTGTCATGAGGGCATTAAGCAAGGACATACATATACATTGTTTTATGGTTGAGAATATTCCATTGAAATGTTATTCAATGTTATTACATTAAATTTAAAAACTGAACATTTTCAAATGCTATATCTGTTGGGTTTAAAAAAATATATATTAAAATTTGATCATACGAAATTAATTTTTTATCATCAAATAACACTGTAAGAATGGTTTTCCAACATCAATTTGGACAAAAAGTTTTTGAAAACAGCAAAAAGATATTAATACCATAATACAAAGCACAATAACACACACATAAGGAACTATAAAAACAATACAGCACCACATCATGGCCGAAACACGGCGTTGGCTAGAGTGCACGACTTGCACATATTGTGCACTGTGGATATAGTTTAGATTTAGTAAGCATACATATCTTATGTTACACTACGCATCAAATATTTCCTCGTTCCCTTGTCTCATCACTTCTTTGTGTTGGCCAAATCTACGTCCAAAAAACATGGAATTGCAAGTTAAGTACATGGATACACACTCAACAAACTTGAATCTTAATTAGAAAATTAGAAGGCCATTAATTCACTTAATAATCGTCAGCTGTCCATAAAGAAGGAGAAACTAAAATCCCACCAATACGACAAATACCAAAGCGAAAAAGAAAAAGAGGAAATAAGAAAAGAAAATACACAGAAATCTAAATGCAGCACAGATTTTTAAAGAGATACATTTTCCAACCTTATTGTTAAACCTTGCCACTAGGGATGTAAATGGATATTTATGGGGGCGGATAGTATGATATCCGCGGTATCTGCCCCATATCCATGCGGATATCAGTTAAGCGGGTAATCTATTGGTTTTAAGGTATCTGTTATTTTAAAAAAAAATATTTTTTCGCTTTAACGACTAAACTTCATCATATTATTTTCATTCTTTTTTCACTAAAACATAATAACATTCAAACATAATATCCATACATTTCATTTTTAACAAAATAAAATTCATCATACCATATAATAATTGTTTGAATAAAACAAAAAGTAATAATGCAAATAGTTTTCATTCATCATACATTTCATTTTTAACAAAATAAAATTCATCATACCATATAATAATTGTGAAAGGTTTTCTTTTTCTTCCAAGAAAACGTTAAAAAAAAGAAATATGAAAAGACTAAATTTCTTGGAAGATGTAATGACGTCTATAATAAATTAAAAATATTTAAATATTTTTTATAATTTATTAACGGGTATAGATATACGCGGGTACGGATATCATTAAACCCGCATTCATTAAATAACGAATATTTAAATATTCATTTATTTTATCCATGGATATCCATTAAACTATCCACATTGTATCCGTGACAGATTATATCCGCGGATACCCGCGGGCACGGGCTTTTTTGCCATCCCTACTTGCCACCACTTGCCAATTGAAATCAAATTTGCATGCTCATCACAATATGTAGTTGTCCAAAAATGATTCAGTTGTGGTATAAATAAAGGAGGTGTTGAGAACAGGGAAAAGACACACTCTTAGTCCTTCATCATTTTTAAGTCGCCCTTTCATTAGTACAAGCATATCCCTCTTAGAACAAACGCTCTTTGTTCAGATATATCGTCCTAATTCTTAACGTCTCCGCTCATAGCACATGACCGTGCATGAAATGTGTATTGAATCAACGAATGTTACATAAGAGATCGATAAATTTAATCTCACTTTCTAGATTTCAAGAAATAAACCATCAATTTCTAGAGTGATTGCTACATTCTAAGAATACAGTTCCATACTACTAGAGTTATAAATACATCACTATAATGATATTAAAGACAACCTAACAACAATACATAAATTACACATATACAACTTCTCACGCCATATGATCAACGATAACCACTTTAAAGCTTCTGACAATTCTTATCTATTAAGGGTTATCACACATTTATAATTTTTAGCAAGTACAAATTCTACTAGAATTCAATTTCAAACTTTATATTTTGTTGAATTGACTTGCCGAAAAAATTTCAGGTACATAAAAATTTCAGGTACATAAATAGTTACCAGAGAAATTAAATATGTCTTAAAATGAGAATAAAATGACATGTATAGATTATACATGATTATACTATTAAAAAAGAATGGATCAAAAACTAAGCAATCAAGGGTTAATGATTAGAATGATGACTCAATATGTCATTTAACATATGTATGATATTGGTATATCGGATATTTCTCTATAACTCCTCTTAATTTGGAGAGTGAGGGTTATTAACTCCCAACTTTACTTGCAAATAAAATTAATGCAATTCAAATAAAATGACAATTCATTTCTTTGTGTTTTGTTCTTTTGTGATTAATCATATTGACAATTAGATGTAATGTGACTTAATTATCACATTGAAGTAGTGTATGTGAATCATATTGGACTTGTACCAAGCTAGTAAGTTACGTAATCAAATGATCTCACTTGTAGCGTGCCTCATTGCACGATATTCAATCTCATTATAATAGTGAGATATATATCTTGTTTCTTAGTTTTCTATGAGATGAGATCTTCTCGGAGCTTCATAAGTAGTATGAGGTTGGCTTCAATGTAAGTGGACAAGATGGCCAATATGATTCGCAAAAACCAACAAGTTCCAAGTTATTCTTCTTTGGCAATATAATCTCTTGCCCCAGTGAAACTTCAAATAACGAAGAACTCGCATGGTTGTCTACCAATGAGCTATTAAAGGTTCATGCATAAATTGAATTAGCACGTGGACTAAATAAATTATTTCTGGTAGAGTGGTGGTTAGATAAATATGTCTTTCAACTAGTCTTATGTACCTTTAGGGATCAAAAAGATAAAATCTTATAGCTAATGCCAACTTATGATTTAGATTCACTAGGAAAACTGACGATTTACAAGCAGCATCCCACATTCATTCAGAATGTCCAAGGTGTATTTTTGTTAACACATGAACATTTTAGATCATATGTGAGTTGTGAGATTATTGGATCGAACTCTAATGTTGTCGAAAAGAATATCTTTTACGTTTCGACCGAAGACAAGCATGAAGTCGAAGATGGTTCACATGCTGATGTCTATGTATTATATATTGTAGTCGAAGTAAGTTCTAATATGTATTGTCGAAATGTTATGTCAAATTGGGCCTTGTGATTGAGGATCCAATTATTTAGTTAGCTTGTAATGTAGTTAGCTACTTAGTCTATAAATAGGCTAGATCTCTCAGGTTGTTGAGAGGGGCCAATTATGTTATTCATTTGTAAAATGAGAAAGTGAATAGAAAACAATTGTCTAAAATACTATTCTCCTTCTTTCTTCTTTCTTCTTTACTCTCTCTCTCTCTCTCTGTCTCTCTCTCTCTCTCTCTCTCTCTCTCTCTCTCTCTCTCTCTCTCTCTCTAGTCTAACTGTTTCATTGTTCACCCAAGAAACTTCGTTTCTCAATCAAGAATTTGTTAATTGGTATCGTTTATTACAACAAACTGGTGCGGTGAATATGGAAAAGATGTTGTCAACAAAGTTTGAAATTGAGAAGTTCACCGGAATTAATGGTTTTGGTTTATAGCGCTTGAAGATACGGGCCCTTCTTTTTCAACAGGGTTTGCTAGAAGCGTTAAAGAGAGGATATGCCATGGATGCTGCATTGGTGGAGAAGGATAAGACAACGATGATCGAGAAAGCCCACAGTTCAATTATTCTGAGTCTCGGTGATAAGGTTCTCAGGCAGGTTTCAGAGGAGACGAAAACAACTGGTATTTGGTTGAAACTCGAAGGATTGTATATGACAAAGTCCTTGGTGAATCGTTTGTACTTGAAGCAAGCTTTGTATTCATTCAAGATGAATGAAGATAAAGCATTGACAGAGCAGATGGATACGTTCAATAAGTTGATTCTTGATCTTGAAGATATAGATGTTATCATCAGTGACGAAGATCAAACGTTGTTATTGTTGTGTTGTTTACCTAAGTCGCATGCCCACTTCAAATAAACCCTATTGTATGGAAGAGAGTCCATGACCTTTGAAGAAGTTCAAGCAGCCTTGTATTCGAAGGATTTAAACGAAAGAAAGGAGCAGAAACCATCATTATTAGTTGGCGAAGGGTTGTCCGCTAAGGGGAAATCCTCGAAGAGAGATGGTAGGTTTAAGAAGAAGAAAGGTAAAACTCAGCAGAAGTCTTATGGCGGTGATATTTCAGGTATTAAGTGTTATCACTGCAAGAAGGAGGGTCACATAAGAAAGGTGTGTCCTGAGCGCCTGAATAATCATGGAGGTAAGGACAATGGCAATGCAGCTATTGTGCAAGATGATTATGAATCATCTGATGTCCTTGTGGTGTCGAGCAGTAACTCTTGCAAATATTGGATTATGGATTCAAGATGTACTTGGCATATAACTCCAAACAAGAATGTATTTGAAGAATTATGTGATCAAGATGGCGGATCAGTGTTGTTGGGAAATGATAAAGCTTGTAAGATTGTAGGTATCGGATCTGTGAGATTCAAGCTCCATGATGAGTCAATAAGGCTATTGACTGGTGTTAGGTATGTACCTGACCTTAAGAGAAATTTGATTTCTCTTGGTGAATTCGACAGGAAGGGATATATTTTTCAAGGAGAGAAAAGTATTCTAAGAGTCATGAAGGGGTCAAAGAAAGTCTTAAGAGGCGTGAAGAAACAAGGCTTGTATACCCTTGAGGCCGAGGTTGTAAGTGGTTCGAAAAATGTTGCATCCATGAAACCCGTGTCAAAAACATAATTATGGCACATGAGATTAGGCCATATCAGTGAAAGAGGCCTGGTCGAATTAGGGAAGCAGAACCTGCTAGG